GTCCAAACTTTTGGCCTGTACTGTACCTCAGGACTGAGTGATACAGAGGGTCAAGTTTGGACAAGGTGGACGGTGAGGCGAACCTGTGAATAGTATAACCAAAATCAATCTGAGTCAGAAGTACTCCAACATTAAGCGTTTCCTCAATGCCACCAAAAATCAGGACTTTAGCCTGTACAGAAAGTCCAGTGTGAAATTAATTACTTTGTGAGAAAGTCAATATGATGTGTAAACTGACCCTTTTATTCAACTGAATTCCCAAATATTTATAATGGAGATACCATAAAGAGTATTGATGAAGAGGATTGGAACGTCTGTTTGCCCAGGGGAGAAAGTTTAAGAGCACTTTCAGGTCTGTAATGACATACTGCAGGGTATTAAAATCAGTCTGCAGATTTGAAAAGGTTATATCTGCAGTGGGGGTACAGGAGTACACCACTGCGTCATCTGCATACAAATGATACTTGCAGAATTTGAACTTATCACAAATATTACTAATTGTTTTTTTTGTTTTTTTGTATTTTTTAAAAAGCAAGGGTCCCAAAACAGATCCTTGTGGAACACCCCTTTCCACAATGACTGGATCGGACATGACGTTGCCAAGTTTAACAATCAGATGATGATTATTCAGATAGGTATTTTGCTAACCATTTTGCCGCTTTGCATCCAATGCCAGCACTCAGCAAGGTGTTAATGAGTAGTGGGTGGTCCACAGTATGGAAAGCCTTTGTATAGTCTCTAAAAAGAGACACACATAAGTTTGCTGTTCATAGCCCAATCAGTGTCATCAGTGACTTTTAAAGTGGAGGTTACAATGCTACGTCCTTATCCGAAGCCTGAGTGCATGTAATTTAAAATACTAGGAGAGTCCATGTATGATGTCAGTTGGGTGGCAACTAATGATTCCAAGATTTTTGAGAGGACACAGATATTTGAAAATGGACAGTAATTGTTCATATCAGATCGGCTGCCAGTTTTAAATAGGGGTGTAACATAAGCTCGCTTCCACAGAACTGGAACCTGGTTAAGAACAATAGAAATATTAAAAAGGTGGGTAACAGGCTTCACTATGAACACAGCAGCAGCCTTTCAGGGTCCAGACCATCAGGTCCAGGGGCCGTCTTGTGGTCGATCATATTTAATTCATGAAGAAATGTCAGAATATTGTCACCTCTGCTAAAAGTATGAGAAATTGGTTTTCTAGCAGTGTACACTGTGGTAGTCTGTGAAGGTCAAAGTAATGATATGCATCATTTGGATATAAATAAATGTCTCTTTGCTTCACTGACAGACAGTGGTCACCCAAGCCTTATATTTCCAAGAGCCAGAGACACAATCATTTTTATTTCCACTTGAATGGAGACAAATGATGTCCCCACAGTCTAAGAGGATGTCTCAGAGCTCCACTGTACATATTTAGTCCCTGGATTCAAGTCATTTTCAGCTGTCAAGGTTTTACTTCAAGTTGAGTCAATTTTCATGACAGCTTCCTTCTCCACAGAGGCATCTGATGAATGTCCGTCCATGTGGAAAGAACTGTTGTGCTCTCTGTGACTCACAGGAGGAAGGGGATCATCACACACACACACACACACACACACACACAGTGTACTACAAGCCACACTGGGTTAAGGGTAGCACTGTGAACCTTGACCTTGATCTGACTCCCTTTGTGTCACTGACTGGTTTTGATGCTTAAGACTCATAAACTCTTTGAAAAATTGGTTGATACTGTGACATCACCCATTGGTTTGTTGACTACCATTTCAAAGCCTTGAGTTCAGCATTATTTGGACTTATGCGTAACTTTAATCCTTAATAAAGTGTAAACAAGTGAGTTGTATAACAATGCACTCCTGTACAGTTGTCATGAATGGGAAAATTAGCTATAGGGACGAAAACATTTTTTTATACCAGTCTGTAAACATGTTTATTTCTGCTGTAAAAACTTCGTTTTTTGGCACTTTCACATTGGCTTCATTCCTCGGAGGTTGCCGCTTGGCTAATGTTAGAACATTATAGTAAGCTTGGTCAATATTGAAATATCATTCTGTGATACTGTCTGATTTCTTCCTTACTCTCTGAAGTATCAACTGGTGTTTCCCTGGAAGTTAGAGCAACAAGAGGGGGTAAAGGGTCAAATGGCAGGTGACCAAATGAAACACAGTTACCTTGAATAAGCTTACAGACCTCTCTGGGTTTGAACATTGTTTGAAACATTTGGGATAATGTAAGTACACAACTTAACAAAATACATAGGTCTAGTTGTTTTTAGCCATTTTAATGCAAAAATGTTAACATATCGTATCTTTAATTTTCAGGTTAACCCTAAAACTAAATCTTAACCCTCAGTCCTTTGAGGACGTTGGCACTGGCCTAAATGTCATGCGACTACGTAGTTGATATAAAGTGACTAACAAGCACAGATGTGACTTGTTTTTGATACTACCCAGTCAGAGACACGGGGTGTCTGACTTTGTTTCTAAATATTTTTTGTGTTTTATTGCGCTAAAGTTGTCCTCAATCTCAGAGATCACAAAGACAAAAATGCGACGTAACTCGCGCACGCGCACACGCACACACACACACACACATGTCCTTATGTCAACCCTTGAATATAGGCCCAGACACCGCTGGTCCAGCCCCAGTCTGATTTCCATACACACACTTTAAAAATGTCCTCACTCTTACTGTGTAGCCGGTATAAGCACACACACACACACACACACACTCATTCACACAGGGCAAAGAGTAGCAGACTGAAAGTGTCTTCATCTCGGGGCATCGTTTTCTGTCACTGTCTGTTTCTGACTTCATCCTGCACATTTATAAGCTTGCACACAAAGTGTGGCTACACACACCTCAGGCTATGAACAAGTCACAGCCAGACATTCACACACACTCAACTGAGTCTTTCACTTCACTCTTACTGACTAAATGTCCATGACTAAATAATATTGATTGCTTGATTGCTAACTATCTTCCTCTTGAGGACACATTGCAGCTTCAGATGAAATTAAATCATTTTACTTTTCTGTATTCTTAAAACTTTAAATATTATGCTTTTCCACCAAGACATGTAGATTATAGGTTATTTCAGGCTTGTACTTCAAGTTAACTGTGATTTAGATCAAAGGAGTTGACAGAGTAGTGTATTGTTTTTGGGGAAACATTTGCATGTTGCAGAAATAAAGATGTTAGGTTATTGTTCTGAAAAGATCAGTCCAATAGACCTCTGATAGAAATTGTATTATTCTTTTTTCTTCTTAAATTTTAAGAAAATGTTTAGACTCAGACTAACCCTGTTGACCTGTGGCACCACACCAGTGTTTTTGTGTGTTTCAGCCCCAAATCATGAATTTCAGGGTTTTTTGCATTTTCTTCTGAATAAAAAAGCACTATGACATGTATACTGCTCAAATAATTTCCTTGAGTCCTTTTTTAGATTCGTGGGCTTATGATCTATGTGAAGTAAAAAACAAGTTTTGCCTCCAGTTAAGTAGAATCCTGATATTTAGGCTATTATTGCTGCTGGAAGCTTCGAAGAGAAGTGTGTGTTAGTCTTACATGAACTAAATTAAGGTTGGAAATGATCGTCACAACTAATTATACCAGCCTGTTTGTTGAACATAGATTTAGCTTATTTTTCTTGGTTAATACTGGTGGAGATGTCACTTACAATGTAATTTAATGTGGAAGTAGACAACTTTTTTAAATACCGACAACTAGCTAATGTTGTCTACTTTTCATGAACTCCTTCACAGATCACAGATTTTTGTTTCTGGCTGCCAGTGTTAGCTAGTGCACTATCGTCAGCGAGCCTTCACTTTCTCAGGCAGACAGGAACCAATCTTAATGCACATTATGTAATGTAAACAAAGAGCATGTTTTCTTGTGACTGATGCAAAGATGTTGACGACAAACAGACAGCGTTAGCTAGGTAGCATATTAGCCAGTTGAAAAGCTGTCTACTTTCACATTAAATTATATTATATAGGGATGTCTCTGCAAGTATAGAGTGGTGCAGGACTGAGTCCTAAAACTTGGAAATGAGTTAGCATTTTTGCTATGGTCTGTGGTTTATACAAGCTAATGAGCCTTTCATGTTTTGTTCTATGACATAAAACACATCAGTAAATTCTCCACTCATGAAATTTTAAATTTTAAGATGTAGCTAATGAGACCACAGAACGTCATCACACCAAACACAGCTTTACAGCCTCACCAAAGATGACCATGGTGTAATTAGTTTGTAGCCTAACGTTAACTTTTTACTTCTAGCAATTGCCTTTACGCTAATTTGTGAAAATTATCTTGTTGAACAAAATGTGGAAGTATCATAAACTTTGTTTGCCATAGAGCTTTGGCAACGATCATAGGCTTTTTGATGAGGGAACCAGGGCAACGTTAACTTCTATGTTGGCTTACAAAAAGAAATTTATCCCTGCAGCACTCTTTTTAACCAACGAAATGAGCCAAATCTATGCTTAACAAGTAATTTCTTATAATTCCAATGTATTATTTTCCACCATGTGAGTAATTCAGTTCTCCTGTATTGAGTGTCCAGCAGTAATTATAACCAGCAAGATTCTAATTAACTGGAGACAAAACCTTTTTTCGACCTCATATAGATCATAAACCCATGATTACAAAAACAGCTCATTGAAATCAGTTAAGAAAGGAAAATGTCATAGTGCTTTTATCCAGAAAATCTTCAGCTCCCCCGCTCACTTGCATTTGTTTGCAGACAAGTCTCGCCTTCCCCAATGTGACGGCAACACTGACGTATAATCCAGCAGCCAATGAGGCATCTGCGTCTCTATATCTATGTATGGTCTTGTTCAGATGCAGTTTTTTATTTTATTTTTTATTTTACTTGTGAACAAAGATCTTGTTGTTAAAATGTCTCCTTGCATATTCAGCTAAAGTGCTGAGTCATAACCCTTCACTGAATCTCTGTGTTTGCTGTCTTAGTCACTCATGTTTCTGTTTTCTTTCAGGATGGTACAGAGGATTCTCAACGAGGAAGCCAAATGTCAAGGTAAGAGAGACTGACAGCTTCAGCTCCTCTCAGGCTGACTGACGAATAACACTTTCTTCCTCTTAAAGTTTTACTCTCAATTTCTCCATTCCCTCTTTTTCTTTCCACACCTCAGATTCCCTTTCTCCCCGTCATTCTCTAGAGTGGTGATGTTGAGACATGGGTTATTTATGTAGCCAACATCTCTAACTGCATGTGTAATGTCAAGGAGACTTTATGCAAATAAAATTGCAGACTTTTTCTCTCTATCGTCATACTTTCTGTCTAACCTGTTTCGACTTCTCTCTACCTTTGATCTGATTTTCTGGCAGACTTAAAACCTCACACATTGGCAGACAATGTTAGACATTGTTTTAGAGAAGATTCATGACTTTTCCATGGTAAAAACTTAGTCTGTAAAATGAACTCAACCATTGACGTACATGATTGTTAGCTGCTGATGGTTGACAACAGAGCAGGGCTGCCCCCTTGAAAGTCGGATATTCGAGTCATCGGGTCAGTAGCCCCTCAGTCTACTGAGATGCTTCAAGTCAAGGGGATGTTTTAGTCCTGAGATGTAGCTGCAGAGTGAGTGCTTTGACGCTGCTTGCAGGTAGCTGCTGACCCAGACCCCCGGTAAGTCTGAAGGTGCTTTCGCACCGCCACATGGTAAGCGCCCTGACAACCGTCTACCTGTGCATCCCCCTCATTAAAAGCAGCTGCTGCCTGTACATGACAGGCAGGTGCTTCGGTAAAAACTGACAAAAGTTCAAGCTAACTTGTAGCTGCATACTGTAGCAATACATACTAAATCACTAAAATGACCAAAGATATCTACATATTTGGACAATTCACCATCATCTGAAGATTGGTGGAAATATTATGCCAGGCCCAGTTTTTCTTCTGGTTGTCCCTATAAGTTGCTAGCGCTGTAATTCCCAGTTTTCTGATTCCAACATTATCAGCTCCTTCATCTTGTCTTCTTTCTGCTTCTACGATGCCCACTTTTTGATGGGCCAAAACCAAGCGGCAACTGCCACGAGTTCAACAAGGTGAACTCTGTGGCCCTATCGCCCTGTTCGAAATAGCTTTCCCACCTTCCCCTCTTTGAAATGACTGGAAGCAGCGACAGTGTGAAAGCCCCTTGACTGAAGCGTAGGCAGCTGCTCAGAGTAAGGCAGACTTTGCCCTGTCAGGATCCCAGATATTGTTGTCTTCTGCCTTCTACTTCAAAGTTATGAATTCACAGCTCACAGCAACTTATTACGATAAAGTCTCTGACTTGTGTGTGATATCTAGCGATGCACTTTTCCAGTCCCTTGTTAGCTTAGTTAGCATACATTAGCTTGGTGGGCTAACTTGGCTTGTTTGCTTCACATCTTTGAGCTACCCATATTGACAGTTACTCTTTAACCAGGTTAATCCCTTCTGCCCTTCAGAGCTTCAGCAAATGTACTTTTGACATAAAAGGACAGTTAATAAACATGGCAGAGCCCGTATTTCTTACAATAATAGCTAGCTACATTCAATGAAATAGTAGCCATACAGCACATCGACATCCTATCAGTGTGCCGGAGGACAAAACAACTTCACCGTCATCACTCAGCAACAAGTAACAGCAGTGAGACTCTAACTAGTCGATTGGCTGGTAAACATGGACCGCAGGGATCTTTAGGAGTTTATTATTTCAATTGTGCTATTACTTCTTTCATATTGAACTGATAACACCATATGTGTCTGCTGACATTCAATGTGGAAAGTATGTCCGAGCCTGACTAGTTTAATCTGACACATAGTAGTGGTGACTTAATGCAAGAGGAGAAAAAAACACGAGAAAGAGAACTTTGAGCTGCAATTGAAAAAAGGAAGGAGGGAAAAACACTACACTCTTGATCAAAAATTGTGACAAAAACTCCATAATCTTCACCCTAGGCAGACTTTCTCGCTCTTTATACTATGTCACCTGACTTCTTCAATTGCTTTCGTCAAAATTAATGTGGCCACTAGAAGTCACCACCTCGTAATAAATGTAAATATGGGTCGTAATAAGTTGCTTGTACAATGGACCTATAGTTTTGTTTTTTGAGTGAGGACAGTCTCCCATAACACCTTGTGATTGTACTCACTGTATTAATGAAGTATAAATGCACATGTCCTGGTCGTCAGTGTGACTTGATGAGTAACGTCAGTGAGATGTAACATAAAACTGTGCACCACTTCGTGTGATGTTTAGTGAGGTCGAACAGAGCCTGTCGTTCAGATCCTGCTGATTATAAGTGTGTGTTTTAGCTCATGGTAATGTTGGCAGCAGGAGTGAATCAGTGGCGTCTGATTCAAAGCAGATGTTCTCAGTAACAAACGTAACATGGTCTGTTGTTTGATGGAACCCAACGCTGCAGCATGTGGTCTGATCTTTTAATACACAACAGCCTGCAGCGCTTTGTATCTTGTTGAGATGCTCTGTACATCACAGTAATAATTCTTTGACATGATGGTAACTACAAAGAAGCAATCTTGTTTGTTGCAAATATGCCCCGTAGCTCCAGTTGATGAAACCCCACTGATGTCAGATGAAACCAGTATACCTTGAAAGAAGTCTTTCAAGAATAATAGTAATAATACCAATCTCTAAATCCCTGACAAGTATTGTCTTGAAAGCAAACAAGAAGGTTTTGAAGAGGTTTTTAGACACAGTGGTTATGAAACCCTCAATGCATAACAGTGTCCCATTTTAGAGATGAAAAACACATAGGTATGTGGTTTTGACCCAACATCAACTACAGAAAAGAGTTTGTTGTGACCAGACTCTGGAAAGCAGACATGCCTTTAGGGCCATGTCAACTTGATATGCTACACAGTGACTTTAAGACACCAGTTTATTCCACCAGCCTGTCTCAACCCCCTCCTCCCTGTGTCCAGCAGTTTCTGTAACTCTCCGACAATCCGACATTCACACCCACTTCATGTAGCGATAGCCAGATGTGTGGAGGTGTGATTTGGTCTTGTCACTTTTCTTGTGTGCAACTGAGTGCAACACTGTTGTATGTCTTCCAGAAAAGACTGAAAGCATTTAATTTTAATGCCATATTTAAAGTGCAGATGAAACACTGAACAATGTGACTGTGGTTCATTTGATTTTTACCTCAGGCAACATGTGACACTGCAGTCAGTCTTGATATCCACCTTGATTTGCTAGAAAACTTCATAGTATTTCACTTTTCACCAGCAGGGCGCAACAAGCTGTTGGTGACGTGTTGAGGGTGGTTGTTTACAAGGAGCTCTGAGTACAGCACTGTATGTCAGACTAGTTAAGTGTTGATACAATGGAATTTGAGAGTTTTCATGAGATACAAAGAACCAAGGACAAAGTTAAAAACCATTTGCCAGTGCTTTTTGAGTCAGCAAGACCAAATTTAGTGATAAGACCTGTTACCCTGGGGTCAGATGACAGCAGCGAAAGTGAAGAGCTGCCTGAACTTGACTGACGTTACATTTAATGTCAAACTGTTACAGCTGACAAACCACACTAAACACTTCCCTACACCAAAAATGTGCTCCACCACAGTCTCCCTATAGCTCTCAGACAGCAAACATAGCTAATGGTAGCCTTACTTTGCAGTCATGTCCACAAGCCACCTTATATCATGGTCAACATCATTACCACCCAGGTTCTGCATCAGGAAGCATTGATAAATTAAACAATCAGCATGACTCCACATCGGAAGAACTGTTGGGGCTGAGCATCACTTGAACTTGTCCCATGTCCCCGTATGAGTTAAATAGCTTGTGGCACCCGTTTGGTTACCTGCTTGTTCAGAATAAACCTGTTAAGTTAGGCTGGTTGATGGTGTAAGCTTCACTTTAGATTACGAAACCAAAAGTTTTTCTCTATTTAGTCCTCACTGCCTTCGAAATGGCTCCTCTCATAGTATTGTATATCCAAATAAGTAATCCCAAACTCAAACTGTTCTGTCAAAACAGCAAGTAAGGTGGGCGTGCACCCGCGTGCACCCGCCTGCACCATTCCGGGATGTAAGCAATGCAAAGTGTGCAAAGTTTGTCCTGTCTTTCAGTTGCTATGGGACTTTATGTAAATTTGCTGCTCTACTCGAAACATCTCATACACTGGCTGTAATTTTTTTTTTGTTAAAGCACAAAACAGCCATCTAAGGACAAAACCTGTTTCAGGGCTTGTGTCCACATAGCTGGGGAGCACTTCGTACCAGTGTTACCGTAAAAAAAGCACTTGCAGCGCTTTTTTAAATGACGTGCTCTGCATAGGTATGTTTCTATGACAACAATATCTTGACACTAACATTAGTTAGGTAGCTAATGTGATGCTGCATTAACAGAGGGTTGACTACACTGTCGCACAGTGGTAAAAGCCCAAGCAGACAACAGAGATGAACAGTTCTTTCGACATCACCAACTAACTTATTGAAACATGGCTGCTCCCTGCTGGAGAAAATGTAAAATACTAGCAAACCACAGGGAAATCACATTTTACTGCAGTGTCATATCTTGTCTAAGGCAAAAATCAAACGAACCAAAGTCATATTGCTCAATTTTTCATCTCCTCTTTAAGCACCTTGCCCACCATTTCCACTGAAAATGTGTACTTTTTGAAAGCAAAGACAAACCCAAAAGTTAACTTATCCAAGTACAGGTGTGACCTGAGTGCTGCAGTAAAAGTATTATGCCTGAATCATGCAGTGCAGTGTGATTAGGTAATCAACACCTTTTGACAGATTTCATTGGAGCAGCTCTCCTGACCCTGTGCTGGATATGACTCACACTAACAGCCTTATATCCATCTCTTTTTTAAACACCATGTCCGGATCACAAGCTAACAGGCTTCTGGGTTTTTAGTCTTTTAAAAAAGAACATCTTTTGTGTTTTGTCCCGCTCTGTCCCATTGTCCTCTTTGCACCAGCATTCTATTTTATTTGACTCTGCTCCATCCTGCTCTGTGGGTCCCTAAGAGGCTTTACTCTCTAGCTTTACTATATCTAGACAGCAGT